CGGCATTCTTCCCATAACTGAAGGTACAACTGTGTGAAAGAATAAACATTGGTACCAAGGAAAACAAATGACAGTAGCTACTACTTACTATGTACAAATCCTCGTTGATGCCAAGGTACTTCCCATTACCACAACCAACATCAGCCACTATTGAGCCTTTCGGTAGCAACCTGAGAAACTCCACAATTCGGGGCCACGGGCTATGCCTGGTACTGCTGAAATGGCTGGCAATGTCTTCATACACCTTGTGTACATATTCTTGCTCCAGCTTTGCTGCCTCCATCTCGCTGTGGGGAAATGAAGGTTGTACCTGTCTCTGCTGTCCTTTCTGGCTGTCACAGACAGATGGGTAAACTAGATACAGCAACAGATACAAAAAAAAGAAATATTTTAAAAGTAATTCGTTGTTGGTGAAACTTAGTTTGCAGAATAAAACTAAAAGTGAAACATTAAAATGCAAAAAATGCTTCATTCCTCCTTTACCTTTTAAAAACTAAAATATCAGTCAAACTGCAGAGGTGTTTGATGACCTTAAAACAAGCAACCTGCCCATGTGTACCAGAGGCCATTTGCAGTGATCATTCATCCTGCTATGTTAACAAGGTTTATGTTTTCAAAACTGAGACAGTGCCCCTAATATTAAAGATCATGACATAACTGCAATTCAGCCTCTGAAATTCCATTCCAAGGGCACAAATTGACTTCAGTTCCATGCAATCATTGAGCCACCTATTATTATCTGTACTGCCCTAAGGCTCTTACATGGCGCTATCACTGCAGATGTGACTGCCTCTCCTTCTCTAATCTACTTAATTTCACTAAATTGCAGTCCCATTCAAATAAAGAACAACCCAAACCGATGGGAACCTGAAGAACAGTAGCGACTTCTATTCTGTTACACTATTCTGGCACTTGAGGTCCCAACGAAATACAAGATTCCAGATTACTTGCCTGGCTCTGGAGCAGGGCAAATGTCTTCCTGTATAGAGAAACTCCAGCAACCACACGGATGCAACCAATTCAAGCCATGTATGCCTAACCCTAAGCCATTCAGGAATGGCTACCAGGACTGCCAAAACTATGAATCTGCTCAAAAAACAAAAATGCTTACAGATGGGTGATATGTAATGATTTTGTCTTAGAAATCACCTCACAACACTTACTGCAATTGCAAGGGCTTCTCCTCACTTTCCTGAATGTAAATGATGTCCTTGTTTCCCTTCGATTTAGTGTTATATCTCCAGCATCAGCAGTGATTGTTCCAACTTTTTGCCCAAACTCAGATGCTTGAATGACATCGTATTTTCGCGGTGTAATCCTAAAACAAAGTAACACAAAATAAAAGAATAATTCAATTTGCATTGTAAAAAACCAATCCACCTAAGAAAGCAATTCTTAAACTGTGACAAGTGTGATTGCAACATGGTATTTAATGTATTGCTGCTTCTCAGCTTTCAACCTAATTTCAGAGAAAAAAAGAGGAGCTAACACATAAGCTAAGGACATAAATTAAAGTGTTATTTAATCGCAAGTTAACTCCATTTCCCTTCCTTCCTTTCCCTACATAAAGTTTGATTGTTTATTTTTCTAGGACTTACACTTTGTTATGTACTTATTTTATACTAAAAAATTACATTGGGCAATGATAAAATACGCTACTAAAACCGGTGGCTATGGGTATAAAAGCAAAGAATTGGCTGAGCTCTACATTAGCAGATTAAAGTTTCTTGTTATAAATGGGCCTCTCCAATGAATTCTGCTTTGCAACAGCATTGCTTTTTCATTTATTGACAACAGAAGATGCAAAGAATGCAGCACTTGGGAGATTTGCCAAAATGCCTAAAGGGAGAAACTCTGCTGACAAAAACTCTCTGATAAAATTCATGAAGTGAAAGTGATTTGGAACTTTTTTGGGTCAACAGAAGTTTCAAACAATTTCATGAGGTTTACATTACAAAAAAAGTACTAAAACAAAAAAAATTAATAGCTCTACAAATGGACCTCTCAAAGCTGAGAAGCAGAAAATGAGAAAGTAAAGTGCAAAACACAACAGGAGAGAAGAGAAACTGCTGCACCTACAGGTAGTTACCATCGCTTGGGCACGGAAAAAAATAGGTACTCACGGAACAAAATGGAAACTGCTCAGGGAAATAGCTTAGCACTTAAAAGCTGTTACTGTCACACCGAAACACTTCCTGAACTTAGTAATCAAGGAGATTAGTGCAGAAATTTCATCAAGAAAAAAAAAAACAACCACAAAACAACCAACCCACATCTCTAAGGAATCGGTCTCTCAGTGAAGCCCCTTCAGAGCTGCTGACTTCAAGATACCTGGCTCCCAGCAGAACAAACCCTCAGTATAAAACTGACTTCCATATTGGTTAGCTGAGTTGAACCCTCATAGGTTGTGTCAAAAGAAGGAAAAACAAAAATAGCGTCTTACATCTTTTAATAAAGCAGAGCATTCAGTCTCATCTCAAATGCCTACTGGTCACACGAAACTGTTGAGCAGTGCCTGTACTTAACCAAGAATGATCCAAATGCCGAGAAGGCAGCCTGCAGCCTGGCCAGCATTCCCATAGTTTGCTGTGTGCCATCTTTCCTACCGCAGGGAAGCTGATCTCTAACTGAGGCACAGGGAGAAAGACTGCAGGTTCTTTCTGTCTGGAAATCGGGAGGCAGCACATTTATGCTCCATTCAGGTGTTGCAAAAAGGAAACATGGAGCAGCCCCAAGAATAGAAATCTCCCAAAGGCAGCCATGGGAAGGATAGGCTCTAATAAAGAACTGTCTTGTTCGTGGCAGACAATGAAGCTATGATGAAATAATCAGCTGAGGATGCCCAAGACTCCCTGGAGAGGAGAAATTCAAATCCAGAGTTTGCCAATTTTCTATCTGATTTTCTTTAGTACCTGGAGCAGTAAGCTAAGCACAGCAGCTAATATTTTCAGATAGGTCTTCTTTTTCAAGGTTTAGTTTCAACCTACATTATTTCCTTTTGCCTATACTACAAGCAAGAACTCAAGGCAAAGGCTGGGCTAAGAACAGGCTTCCCAGTATTGAAAATAAAACACTGCACATCCTCTTGCTTGACACAGAGTTGTTTCACTAGTGCAGTGTCAGGAATGGTGTTTTGCCAGGTTACCCAATCACAAAGGAACCTCATCAGAAAAGCCATAACTTTACTTTCACCTATGAGACAAAAAAGAGCACATATCCTTTGCACTCCTTGATGACACTGTATAGCTTATTTCTTAACCACGTTTCTCTTTCAGAGAGAACAGAACCCCTGTGCACTTTGTTAACAGGGTCACAATGAAATCTCTAATTCCCCTGGCATCCAAATACAGACACTGAAACTAATTTCCAGAATAATTCCAAAACTGAACCTTTTGCTATCTAAATTGACTTCTGAGGAACAGACAAAAGACATCACAAATGATCTTAAATACATCCTGACGTTACATATGCAAGTGAATTAACTACTCTCACTCACTGCATGATTAATCTTTTTGAATACAATAGTATGCTTCACTAGCATGATGGAAAGCTTACTCCAATTGAGTACCCTGACCCACTACTGCTTTTAAAAATATAGAGAAAAGCAATTTTTAGGAAAGGTGGAAAGCACTGGGACAGGAATAACTTATAAATGAGTAGAAATATCTGGGATCTTCATTTTAAAAGTACTTTATGTCATTGGTTCTCAAAAGACAACCATCACCTGAAGGTACAAGTGAGCCAAGAAATAATCTCATTCGAGTTCTCAATAGGCAGGTACACTACCCCAACTTGAATGCCTGCTGGCAAGTAATGCAAGTGCCCTGCATGAATCCTTTCTCCTCCTGGGAGTTTGCCTTGGAGACAGCTGTCACAAAGAGAGCCAGAAGCCTCAGCAAGGGCCATCCCTCCTTCCCTGGCAGCTGCTTTTAAACAGAGGCTGTCTCCCATAGGGCCTTGCCCCAGCTACAGCCCTAAACATGTCCCAGCTGTGTCTGTGCACAGCCACTGCCCCGCTCATCCGGGCCTTGGTCGGCAGGCTGGCATCCCAACCTGGCCTCAGCACAGCCTCACGGAGCTGCCTGATGCCTGGGGTTGGGGGCTGCCTCCCAGGTCCCCTGGGTCCCTCCTGGTCCCCAGACCAGCAATGCCACTGACATGGAAACTGCATGATGTTCCCAGAGTTGTAGATAACCTTTCCAAAAGATGACAGACAGTATCTGACAGGACAGAACAGGAAGCTTATAATGCTGGTATCAGTGTTCAGCCTTGTATACCAAAAAACAAAGGACTTCACTGCCCTGGGCTTCTATTACAATGCACATCAGAAGTACCAGCTGCTTTTTACAACTATTTAATTTAACAAGGGAATATAGAGGTGGTGTAAGCGCTCCATAAAAATGAACAATATAAAGGTTACTGGGGAGTTCATATTCACCCTTCTCATAAAACGAACAGTAAAATTAAAAGGCAGAAAAATCTTCTGCCAATAAAAGGATTTGATGTTTAATTTACAAGAATGTAATTAGTGTCTCTAGTTGACTGCTGTAACCAGTGACTGTTTGCATCAAACAAAGGAAGAAACATTTACCATGGGCATTTCTGTCCAATACGAGGGTTTCCACATTCTCCTGAAGTGCACTACTGTCACTCTCTACTGTCTACTGTCACCAAGGTTTTAGCCTTTTTTCCAATTTCAGTGCTCCTACTGCAAGTATCTCCCAGTGGTGCACAATTTTAAAAGTGGGCATTTAAACTCTACAATAAGCGAAGGCTCAAAACATTTCAAGAAATCTCTTTTCCAGGATCCCAAACCTCCTCAGTACAATGCAGCCTTATCAGTAAAGACTCCTCTTTGTCACCCTCCTGCCCTCTGTGCAGGGGAAGTCACTCTCTTAAAACCAATCTCTAAAGACTTTGGCATATGTAATCCAATGGGAAAAGCTGTGGGCTGAAAAGAGAGAAAGGAAATGGTAAATTTAATTGCACTACAATCAATTCTTTGCCAGCTCAGAGTCACTGAGGACTTTCACACCGCAGATGTAAGAGAGTGCAATTTCCAAGCAAAAATTCACTTGTGACAGCAATGGGAAACTGCAGCTCCGGGATTGGCAATTAGCTTCCTAAAATCCCCAATTTTTTCAATTTAACCTGAGCAGCATCTGAGCAGAAGAGTGAATTTGAGTATTAATTATAAAACTTGACTTGGTTTCTTTCACAGCAACTTTAAATACAGAATGTCATTAACAAAGCAAACAACACACGTTACTCTTCCATTAACAGCAATGCAGAGACTCTTGCACATACCCGTGTGTCCACAGGTATCTTGATTCTCCAGCCATCACCAGTAAACTGCATCGGGGCAGCATAACTGCCGCTGTACGGCCATCAGGGTGTTTGAAATCCATCACAATCTAAAAGGAAACAAAACCAGCCACCACAAATGAGCATGACTTACAGAGCTTCAAATACATCACAGGCATTCTTACGTCCTAGCTTTGTTTCCTTCTTCAATGCGTTCATCAGAACATTGCCATGAAACGGTTATCCATTTCCTAGGGATGCAAAAGCCTCTAGGTCTCTGTCCTTAAGATGTCTCCCTTTCAGCACTGTGTTCAAAAATCAGAGGCAGTCACTAATATATGTGTATATATGGATAACTGAAATACTTTTTTTTTCTTTTCACAGTAATAGCTTTCTTCGTAAGAACATGGTAGCACTGTTTAATCTCTGTGTGTACCTGTGACATAGAAAAGGGTTACTACCCCTCAATGTAAGGCAATTGCATAAGAGGAAGAGAGGAGTCATTTTCTATAACTCAGGCATCTGACAGTTAAGTACCTGCGCTAAGTCAGTCAGCTACTGCCTTTTTGTGATGTCTATGCAGAGAGAGACAAGTATCTCCAGAGTGATTCATCCTAATCTAAAATGTAGAGCTCAGTGAAGTGGAATGACCCCATGTCCTCTGGAAATGCCTGTCCTTTCACAGCAGATTGAGCCAAGACAACTAACTTGCAGATATATAACTCATAGATAACATTAATGAGCAGATACATAGCATTTAGATAACCAGTATTAGGTAAGAGAAATAATTTCCAACCTGCTCACATTCTTGGAGGTTTGCAGCACACACAGTCTCCCGAGATCCTGACTAACATGCCAACTACCAGACCACCCTTTTATTATTTGCCACCTGGCTCCTAGCCACAGCCATATATTGAGGTAACGCTTTCAGATTTATTCCAATTTCACAGCACAGATGGCAGTGCTACGTTTTGCTTCTGCTTGGGCTAGGAACGTTATCCTTGTATATTTTCTACACGAGATAAACGCTTGCCATGGAAAATAAGGAATGGGTCATTTAAGCAAGTCAAACGAGTTACAGAAGACTTACCAAAAAAGTAAAGTGGTCAAAAACTAATCAAGTCAGCAGTTCCAGCTACACTGCAGTATTAGCACCATGGAAATGCTGCCACCTGATTTGTAACCTACTAAGTATGCAATTCAAAAGCAGACTTACTACAGTATGCCAGATCGAAACAAATTAAGCAGTTCTGCCTCTGCATTCAGATGCATTTAACAAAGAGAAAACTGGTGCAATGATCAGTCAATTCACCACAAAAATGGCATGACAGAGACTGAACAAGTCTGCATTTTAAACACTACAAATAAGCACTTAACAACATTTACTATTTAATCTTGTGCACTGGATCAAACTACAGTAGCATTTAACATTTTTAGGAAAAAAAAATATATACACTCTAGTACCACTCCCAGAGAATGACACAGCTTATCCTCTCAAGGTGTTTAACCAAGAAATTACAAAGATGACAAACAGTGGGGCTGAAAGGGGAAGAGAGATATGGCAGAACAGGAACAGAGCCTACCTACAAGTCTGAATGATTATGATGAAGCACTTCAATAGCTACACAAATAGATGAATGGCAGCCACTTGCTACTATTCACCTTCCCTTACACTTAGCAGTTTCTTCCAGGTATCCTGAAAGAAGCATGGGATGAAGGAGAAAACACAGTGGCTTCACAGATGTGATGGGGAGGCTGTCCCATAAAGCACGACTTGGTGTAAGGCTCTGTAAAAAGCCGTAACTATCTGGGCAGGCAAAGAAATCAGCGGATGACTAATCAGGACCAGCAAGTATGGAAAGGAAAAGCATGAAAAGACGAGAAGTGGGGAGGGAAGTAGCTGGATGAAATGGATGGGATTGTATTTCCATCTCTCTTTTGCCTCTCTAGCTCACTTCTGTTGGGGGACAGGACAGAGACTGGGTTCTTCACAAGTATGGCAAAACAAACTGAGCGTGAGACTGCCCAGATTCCTTCCTGGAGGCTGTTACCCCACTGTCCCTCTTCCTGTGTCAGTAGTAGCTACAAAGCCCTGCTCTTGCAGATGATTTCAGGAACTGCACTTTCCCCAAGAGTCAATGACTGTTAGCTCTAGGGGTCTCCTACCCTTCCAGTTCTCACCTCCCTCCAGCACCTGTAAAAAGGACCTTGCTCCCTTTCACTTCTCTGCACGCCAGGCTCAGGGGCTCCATATGAAGCAGTGTGAAACAGTTCCTTCGTCTCCATCTGCCTCCTCCGCTGCTTCACTTCATGCATCTCTAGATCCTTCTCTCCCAGCTGCATGGAACCCAAGAGCTCTTGGCAGAGGATGCTCCTCAAACCCTGTCCTGTTAACAACTGTGCATCCAAAACAGCAGAGGCTCAGAGTGCTCTGTAACAGACAGCACGGTCGGAATGAGACGCCACAAAACTAACTCTGGTAGCTGGTTTTTCAGGCAGTAGTGGCAGGAAAATAGCAGTCAGTAAAGAGGAGAGCATGTCTTCCTGGCTGAAGTTCAGCTATGCTAAGCCAACAAGAAATATGTGAAACAAATTTCTGATGGTGCAGAATTTGAGGCTTAAAAAGCAGGAGATTACCTATTGTACGTAACATCTGGCAAGTGTAGTCTTCACCAGCACAGGATCCCACTTCTGTCCCTGCTCCCTACTTCTCTGTGGAGGAAAAGCTTCTGTATTATTAACTCACACTGTGTGGCTGCTACCCTTCTAAATTAATTTCGTCTTTATGACAAGTAGTGATGATATGGGGAGGAAAATAGAAATAAAAGGATTAGTTTACTTGCAAGTGGATAATGACATTAAGCAATTGGTAACTGGAAGAGTCACAAATCCAAAACTGACTTTTGCTTATGAAGCAGAGAGAGATCCTCATCTAGAATATACTGAAGTTTTGCACTTTTTCTATTAACAACAAATCTGACACTACAATTCAGACAGAGAATCATATTCAAGGAACCCACTGTGAACATCTGAAGAAAATGAGTGCAATTCCTATGCTTCACTCCTTTCTCTAGAATAACTGCACCTGAATGCTTAAAAAATGCCCAAGCAACAGTATTTCTTCTTTTCTTTGTCTGCAGTACAGTGCAGAAGACTTAACCCACAAGGGTTTTTGAAGAACTCCGTTCTTATCTCTGAAAAGCCTATTACTGACTGAGGCAGATAGCATTCCCACACTCCTATATGTGTCTTTATCCTGGCAAAGCATTTTAAACTGTCACATACACACACACACAAAAGATTAACGCATTTGGTCCTCTTTTTAATTTACTAAGGACTCACAATCAATAAAGCAACTCTGCCACTGCCGAATCAATCTGCTTCATGACAGCTTTGCTCCACAGGAGCTATTTCCAATTACTATTTTCGTTTTAACCTGTTTTCTTTTTTCTCTTAGGTGGCAGAGTCAATAAAGATCAAATTTCCAGCTAGCCCATGGTGCATCATCCAGGGATTACATTCAGAAATAAAAATAGTGGATGCTTTGATCTTATGCAACTTTTACCTTCTCTCTTTGTACTATCAAAAAAGCATGTCTCTATATATAGCAGAAAACTTGAAAGAAACAACAGCTAATAATACCTACTTGTGGATTTAAATATCTTGTCATGGTGTCAGGTTATTTAAGAGAGTGCTCATGACGACGGAGCACATGAAGCAGTAAACAGCTTTCAAGGATGGCTAAACATCAAAGCAAAGTGACACCCACATCACGAACATTGTTCCTGTGGCACAAAATACACCGAATGCAAAAAAAAAGAAACAAAAAAACATAAAACCAAAACCAGAAAAGACTCCAGCTTAGTGTGCTTTTTTACCTCCTCAGGGAACGAGAAGCCTGCGCTGTCTTCCAGTGCAGTGGCACTGCACTTCATGAAAGAGCAGGAGGATGGAGGTGGATGACTGGTCCATCAAATAAGTAACGATCCAAAGACCAAACAGAAATAATGCAGTGGGGCTATCAGTCGATAAGGATTTCACGGCTACAGTGCAGAATGACAACATTGTTTTCCTGAGCTTTGTCTCTGATGCAATTTGTATTTGAAGTTAATAGACTCCCTTAGACAAAACACTCTAAAGCTAAAAAAAGTACTATGTGGCATGCCTCTCAAGTCTCTGCCACTATTTACTGACTTTTCAGAGAGCAAAGACAGGTTATCAGCCTACAAAGCAGTTTCCCACACACAAAACAGACGAAAAAGAATGTCTACTTCAAAGACAGCTGAGAGGTTTAAAGGCCACATGTGGAGCTTGAACAACACAGTGGGGCTCTATGCAGAGACAAGAGCCTGCTGGCTTACACGGGACTGAGGCAAGCAATCAGTAATGCACAGTGCCTTTCACTGCAAAAACCGTGCTAAATTCCGAAATCTGGAATTCAGAAAAATGCTGAATTTTAAGGGGAAAGAGAATGGGATTATCTTCTCCAAATAATCCATGTCATAGGAAATCTATCTTACATAACCTCTGCTGATACTTACATCCTGTATCATTGTCTGCAGTCATACTTCAGAAAATGAGTGCAACGGTGACGATCATAATGATGAAATATTTCAGAACCGCCTACCTCAAACGTCTCTCAACACATGCACAGGCCTCCCCTGTATCAGATTTATGCCAAAGCACACCATCACTTGCCAAGCTTGCTTATCTGCTTTGGCACTATGGTGATGCTAGTCAGATGGTTAACAGACTTACTAGAGGGTTTTCTTCCTTCAAAAACTGTATTCAATTCTCCATCCATGCAATGCACTACTATCTTCCTGAATTTTCTGGGTCATTTTAAGTATCTATATATTTCTTCCTCTTAACTGAAGTCTAGGATATGAATGCTTAAAAACCATTTCAATATATGGACAGTTCTTCATTCTTTTTTGTCCAAGGTCTCACCTTGTTATGATTTTCCTGATAACCCCAAAGAGGACAGCATAGCAGTACCTCTCCTAGCTCTTACGTATGCCATTGACCCCATGATACAAATTCTCTCGTCTGTTCTCTGCTCACAAGATTCATGTACTGTACAAGAAGAGGAAAAGTACTGCAGTTTCCAAGCTGACTCCTGTTGGCTGGAGGCGTCTCCGATCCTCTGCAGGCCTTGTCACACCTAGCTGGAATAAAACACCACTCTCCTTTTGTACCCGGGGATGCATCTCTTGAGGCTCTCCAACTCCAAGGATCAGAAGTTTTCCAACCAGTACAACATCGACCTGGGGAGCTGAAATATGTCATTAACTCCTCTACTGTGCCTCACCACTGATCATTGCCACAAAAGAATAACTGCAATGCTGAAATCCAGCCACTCTGGGTACATCCACATTTCTAAACAAAAAATAATTAGAGATAATCTCCAAGTGACCCACACTGCCTCAGGTCAACACTCCTTGGAGGTATGCCCAAAAGTATGACTATTATTTACAGTTCAAGGCATTCGAAGCATTAGGAGAACTGTGTTGCAACTCATTCCAGTCTGGAGTTTTATAGCACAAAACAGAAAAGTGTCCTATTTCTTACGAGGCAGCACAAGTGAGAGGGAAAGGTGCAGGAGGGAAATGCATCAGCTGAAGGGGACCAAACACAGTGTAGTCTCATCCACCTTGGCTTTAGAGGATAGCTGTCACATGAACTAAGCCTAAAACCATATATCCATTATGTCTTGGAAATACTTAGCTGCATACTTTGAGTATGACTGTAACAGGAAAAACTGCTCAATTCCTGTCATTTAAATCAAATCAGAGTCAAAGTAGGTTACTGATTTATTAACAACACTTAATTAACAAGCAACCAGTAAGCTACAGATTGAAAAGCATCACCAAAGGAACACACAAACCACAGCACTAGATGCCCACAAATGTTAATAAACACCTACAAACTTCAAAATAGCCTTTATAACTAATCCCTCAAAGCTCTAATTACCACAATGTGCAGTTACATGCATACCACCTCCTCAAAGACCATGTGGGCCACCAGCCCTCACCCTCTCCTGGCAGTGGGGGCTCCCCTATTCATACACCCCTCCTGCGAGATGTGGAGGCTCCCATGCACACACCAGTGACAAAGGTTCCCTCTAGGCTCACACAGAGGTGTTCCAGGTGTGCATCTCCACTGCAGCACCCCATGCTGTCGCTCCACCAGCTGGATGCCGGCTCCTTGTGGTGTCCAAAGGGCAGCTGCTCTGCCAAACCTCAGCAGAGGCTGAGATGCTGGTGGTACTGCTGGCAGCATCACACCAACTTTTCTCACTCATATGTCATATTTTCTTCACTCATATGTCTCCTCAAGCTGACTCCTCTTTGTTTCAAAAGCCAGGGTTACTGTTCAGTCTTGCTGATGGCTGAACAGCCAGACTAAAAGAAGAACACAACAAAGCTAATCCATTAGACTACCCATCAAATATGTCGGCAACTCTAAAAAGTATCAAGTTTCTTTTGTATGTCAGGACATTACCTATGGCCTTTGCACCTTCCCAGATTATTACCTGTGTTAAAAACTCAAAGCTGAATATTGGACTCTTACATAAAAGGCTTTAAATCCCTACAGTAAAAGGCAATAGTTACACTACCACTGCTTCCCTCTCTCTTGTCAGCACAGGTATACATTTCTCTTTTTTGGAAAATGCTATCTAACCCCAGCATATGATCTTGATGCCCTTCTGTGGAACCAGAGACAATGACCCAAACAAGTTCTCAACAACATCCAGTTTATTCAATTTTGCTAACATTCCAGTTTCACCATTTAATAAATTGCCTCCCTAGCTCTTAGCGTAAACCCTTTTAGGACACAGAAAGCAAGAGGCTAATGCTGTTAGTCTTCATTTAATTTCTTTTCTTGACTTAGCCTTCTCTGCAATATTTTCCATTCTTTCAGTCACATGCCTCCCCTCACATTCGTGGGTGTTACTACACTAATGTAAAGGGAATTGCATCCACCTACAACAGGGCAGAAAGTGCCCCAAATGTATGAAATCACTCATTTTTCTTTCCAAAGGAAATTTCCAGGATTTTGTATCACTTGCTTTGTAATGGAGTACAGTTCAATGTAAGAGGACTCATATACCCTGATCCTAGTGGACTCCAGAGGGCTCAACCTATTCAAGATATAATGTGCAGTTCTGCATCCTCAAATATATCTCGTCAGACTTGCACTTAATGTATTACTCTACATTCTGAAAGCAAATAATCCTTATTTACACATTTAACGCTGTATCAAATGTTTACTGAGAAAACACTGTCCAAGGTCCTTACAACACAGATGCAGCTCTTCTGTAATGAATCCAACTTTACATG